TGGGGTATTTGTTATGGAGCACTAGCTAACTAAGACTTATTTTCTTGCTAAGCAAGTGCATCTTTTTTTCTTTGCACTGTTAATGCTCATGCTGGATTTTCAATTATCCCAACTCTAGCTATCAGACTCCTGCTTGTAGGCCTTTATACCACACTCCCTACCCACTTCACCTGGGATTCCTTCTGTCATCATCCCAGCAGGAAATGATCACTCCCTCCTCTAATCCTGTGCCACGGCATTTGCTTTATATACTTCTCCTTTGGTATTATAGAGCCTTCTCATTCATTCATTCAGAAAACTTTTACTGCAAGCCCTGAAAAAATGAATATTGAGTAAGATAAAAATCCTTACTCTTGAGAAGCTCACTCTAGTAAAGAAGTTATGAAAGGACAAAGCAATACAGAATACAAGACAGTCCAAAGAAGCTACTGCTTGGGGGGGCAGAGCTAGTGGTGGGAAAGAGCAGGAGTTGGGAAAAGCTTCAGAGAGGAGGGGATGGCTGAGCTAAGTCTTAATGAAGCACAGTGGGAGTATGCCAAGCATTTCCTGGCAATTTGGCTGTGAACTCTTGACCAAGTCCCTGTGCTAAAGAAATTTACATTCTGGAGGGTAGTTTTGAAAAAGCAAAGAGAGGGCGCCTGGGTGGCTCAGTCGTTAAGCGTCTGCCTTTGGCTCAGGTCATGATCCCAGGGTCCTGGGATCGAGTCCCACATCGGGCTCCCTCCTCGACGGGAAGCCTGCTTCTCCCTCTCCCACTCCCCCTGCTTGTGTTCCTGCTCTCGCTATCTCTGTCTCTGTCAAATAAATAAATAAAATCTTTAAAAAAAAAAAAAGAAAAAGCAAAGAGAAGAATAAATTATAATAGGTAGGAAGAAGGAAACAAACTAGGAACTTATAGAAACATAGCAGAGATTGACTTGATTGAGGTGGTTAAGGATAGCCTCTCTGGGCACGTGAGGATCTAAGGCCTACAAAGTGTGAAGAAAACAGTGTGTGATAAGTGTGTTTGCATACGCAGGTTTTTTTTTTTTTTTTAAGATTTTATTTATTTGAGAGAGAGCGCGCACGCAAACAGAAGCAAGGCGGGGAGAGACAGGAGAGGGAGAAGCAGACTCCCCACTGAGCGGGGCTCAATCCCAGGACTCAGAGATCATGACCTGAGCAGAAGGCAGATGCTTAACTGACTGAGCCCCCCAGGTGCCCCTCACATGCAAGGTTTTGTGTTGGGGAACAGCAAGCACTCCACCCTAAGAATACAGCAGATGTAAAGGCCCTGGAGTGAGACAGTGCTTGACATGTTTAAGGAATAAAAAAAAGGCCAGGTGGTCCGAGCAGAGTACTGACAAGGAAAGCGCAGATGAGTTTGCAGGGGCCTGGAAGCCATGCTGATGAGAACGGTCTTGCTGAGAGGGAATGGATTCATGGTAGGAGAGACAGGGAGAGGGAGAGAAACAACTTCTGGATGTGAGAGGGGAGGGAGATCCTGAGCACAAGTGGAGGGACTGGGCTTCTTCCATCTTGAGAACTGAGAAGATGGGTTCAGGTTTAGGCAGATTGGTAGGTTTTGTGGTAGAAGGGAAGTTCATATCCAATGTCTTCTATTTTCTTAAGTATAAACAAAGTCATCAGCTGAGTAACAATGTGAGCACAGGGTATGGGAGGTTTGAAAAGATAATAAAAGGTATAAGTCAGTCATCTCAGGGAGTGGGACAGTAAAGTACTGGGGAAACCCAGAATGGTTGTTGGGCAGTGTTAAGTGCCAATCTGAGGCTGACATGTTGAAGATGAAGCGAGGCTGGGCAGTGTAGTTGTGTAGTTTTCTCTAGGAATGCAGCTCAGTGCAATCACAAAAATCATAGTTAGTAGGGTTCATCTTAGGCTGGGGTTTTGCTAGGCCAACTGTATTTGTAAATTAGGTCAACCATGATCTTAAGTAAGAATTGTTTCAATAGACTGGGTGTAGAAGCCAGATCTCAGTGGGTGAAGAAGTGAATAAAACTGAAAGGCAGAGAATTCTAAGGACTCTTTCTATAGTGTTGCAGTGGATAGGGAACAGAAGGGGAAACTAGTTAACATAGAGTTTTCTTTACATGCTAAAAGGTAAAATTAGGGAAAGGGGAGAGATTATGGCATAGGAAAACAAAAGCCTAATAAATAGGTCAATCTTTGCTGAGACAGAGCAGTTGGAATTAGACCAGGGAGGTATTTATCTTAGACAGGAGGAAGAAGAAAGATGCAGGAAAATGTGTAATAATACAATTAATAACAAAAATAGTTAACATTTATTGAATACTTGTTTTAGAACACATACTAAAGGCTTTATATGCACAACTTAGCTTAATCCTTATAACAACTGTGTTACACTAAGAAAGATTAATGTGTCCAAGACCACTCGGATGGCAACTGGCAGAACCAAGATTTGCAAAGGCAGTCAGATTCTAGATGTCTTGTTCTTAACCTTCACATTATAACGTAGGTGGTAACAGGAAGAAATTGAAGTTAAGAAGTTCACACCTAATAGCTTCATTTTCTTTGTGATTTTGGAGGCAAAGTCATCTTCAAAACAGGCTTGGAGGAGAGGATGGGGTGAGATGGTGAGGTTTGGGGATAGTCACTTAAGGTAATGTGAAGGGAAGCTCCTCAGGGGGCTGCCATGAGGTGCTTAGGAGCTAGCTGCAGTAGGACTCAATAGTATTTGTATATGTCAAGTGACACCCCTCCATCCCTTGGGGGTTCTGAGTGGGAGGCATTTAAGTAAAGGCAATTATTTCTAATACAGGATGGAGGATCCTATGATAGAGGCTACACACAGAGACCTGTATGAGTAAAAAAGAAAAATCCTTCACCCAAAAAAGTGTGGGCTGAAGGGGTAGTGGTTGGGCGGGGAAGGATATGGCCGTGGGAATGGGTTGCTAGAGTGGAGGGGAGGGTGGAGATCTGATGAGGTCAAGGAAAACAGAGGGAAGGATATTGGAAGACCTTGTGTTACTGTAATATCAAAGCACAAATATTTATTATTCAGGGTTAACACATATAGGACACTGTGATAGGTAAGGTATAATTAAAAAATAGAAGCAGTTCTTGGTTTATTTCCCAGCTAAGCCTAGCTCCCTGAAGGGCAGGGAACATGCTCTTGATATAGCGATATACTTACCACAGTGCTTTGTTCAATAAACACTGACTGGATTAAGATCACATCTACATTAAGAAAAGTCCTATATCACAGGTTACAAACTGGTGGCCCAGGGGCTGAACCAAGCTTGCAGGAAGTGGTTTATTTAAGTGCATATGCAAATCTGTTGTGAGTGGTGGAGCTGTGGTAACCTGGCAAGCACATTTAGGTGGTAGTCACTAGTCAGCTCAATCTAGACCCCATGGAGGAATACAAGCCCAATGCCATCAGATGTTCTAAAGTTTTAAGTGTTCTCCATTTTGAAAGGTTGGCTCAAATTTTTTATGAACGAGTGAACTAAACATGCCTGTTCACCGAATTGTCTGTCAGCAGTGTTTGGTTTGAGAATTTTCGTCTATTCTCAGATCCCTTGATAAAGGGATTGCTTTTAGATTTTATTTCACCACGATTTATTTACCTGGGGCATTAACACATGGGCTATTGAAACATCTTAGCAACATTCTACTAACAGGTTCCCTTCCTCACCTGCCACACACACCTGCCTAGCTACCTGTCCTGTATCCAATGTCTCCCCCCTTCCCATCCAACTGTCCCTGTCCAGCATTCCATCCTCACAGTCGTCTTTGGTAATCTGGGGAGTTACTTATTCAAACGAGATGACAAGTATTCTGCAATAAAATCTCCCATGTGTTATTACTTTTTAATTCGGACCTTCAGTCCTAAGAAAGAATAACAGGGGGAATAAGAGGGCTAATTTTGGGGTGGGGGGCTTTCCCTGCCTCTGAAGCAGGGCTTCTCACATTGTATTGTAATTGTTTATTCGTCTGGTTTTCCTCCAGACGCCAGGCCATTTGTCTTAATCATTGCTGTATCCCTGAGCACATTGGTGTTCCATTAAACTGTTGGTGAGTATACCCAGTGAATGAAAAGCAGATGCGGCCCGAGGGTGCATTTTCCTTTGACTCCTGCCCAAGGAAGAAAGCTTCTATGCTCATCCCATAATCACTCTAAACTGAGGCAGGCAGAGCGGGAAAGCGCTGGCTACTGCACACAGCCCCGATCTGGCCACCGCTTCCAGAGCGCCTACTGCCTGCCAAACGTCGGGCTGGTCGCCAAGGGCGCAGAAAATAAGCTCGGGAGCAAACAGTCTTAGCTTCATTTCCACTCAGTGCTTCCCGTTGCCTAGTTTGGCCTTATTGCCCCCAAAAAGTTGTTTCAAAACACACTCGAGATTCCCGGCGCTCTCCTCCGTTATTTCCCCTTTAAAGTGTCTGGCGCCCGGCGCTCAGCGCCCGCCGTCGGAGCCCAGCCCCGGGAGCAGGACCGCGGCGGGGCCGTGGCCTCGGGTCGGCCTGGGGAGCCGAGGCGGCGCAGAGCGGGGTCGCGTCCGCACGGGTCCCGGGCACCCCGGGCCGGGGCCCAGCTCCCGCCGCCGCGTGTCACCAGCGCCTCACCTCCCGGCCCCGCCCCTACCTGCGCGCCGCGGCCCCGCGAGCCGCAGTCTCCCTCCGGAGCGTGACAGCCCGACATGGTCCGGATGAGGAGAACCACGGCCTCCCACCTTCGCGCGGCTTCGGGACCCGCGCTCAGTCTGGGCTCAGCCCCCTCTGTGGTGAGGCCACAGCTGCAATCGGGCGGCGCTGAGGGCAGCCCGGGGGCGGGGCGGACGAGGCGGAAGGCGGGTCTCGGAGGGCCTCGCGGACGGGAGATCCGGAGGCGCAGCCGCCGGGCCGGGAGGTGGGGCGAACGAGGTTGGAGGCGGGACTAAGGAGGGCCTCTCGCCTCGGAGACTCACAGCACCGCTGGAGCCCGGAGGCGTGGCCAACATGACAGGGGGCGGGGCCCGGGAGGGTCTTGATGACTGGGCGATCAGGCTGTGCTGCGGGCAGCCCGTGACAAGGCCGGGAAGATGGCGGCCTCCTGGAGGCTAGGCTGTGACCCTCGGGTGCTGCGCTATCTCTTGGCCTTCGGGGAGTGCCAAAAACTGGGGCTGGTGAAGGGCGCTTCCGGGTGGTCTGTCGGCCGCGGAGTTAGTTGGAGATGGCTTCACAGCACGCAGCGGCTGCGGGGTGAGTGGTCGGGGTCGCTCAGTTGCTCTGTGTAGCTGAGTAATGGGCCTGGGTCAGGGGCTTTTTGATTCAGGCCCATCTGGGTGTGGAGGTGCCCGGGGCTCCCTCTTCCTAAGGCCTTTTCTTGGGGAGGAGTCCGCCGACTTGGCCTAGTGCATGCCGCGAAGGGTTTTCTTGGGAGCTGGAAAAACTCGGCCCCTGGTTGGTATGGCTTCTCTGTGACCTTGCCTCGGAATTTGGGTTATTTGTGACGCGCGGAGACAGGTCCTAAACGCTTTTCCTTCAGGCCGCTTCCCAGTTATATCTCAGGTCCCCCTAGAGCTGTCAAGCTGCCCAAGGTTGCTGAAATTCAAAAGCCACTGGTAGCAGTTCGTATTCATTCTCTGGGCCCATCTCTATGGGGCGATTTTTCTTCCAGGCCTCTCGGGTTGCCCCGCGCGACGACTCGCAAAAGACTTAATTTGTAAATGCCTAGGGCATCACAGACATAGGTCCAGAAGAATATTTTAAGCAAAATATGCGCTTAAAAGAGTGGCAATTTAGGAGGGGAATCACACCAAGAAGTTATTATATAAAATTGGCATTAAGTAATGATATTAACACTTAATGATATTAACACTCTTTTAGTATTTAACAGGATGCAATATAGTATGCCGGGCATTATTTTTCTTTACATGAGGGTGGGGGGATATGGCTAACATTTTGTGTGAGTGATGTATTACCTGCCAATCATCCTGGCACTCCACAGTATGAATTTTAATATAAAAAATTAGGTGCAGTAGCATTGCTTAAATATTCTGAGCTACCTGAGGCTCAGAAAAAAAAAAATGTTACAAAGAGTCACACGGTAAGATGAGTGCACTGATTTTAAGATTTGGTAATGAGAACAATTTATTTCCGTTTCTTCAGCTTGGTATTTAATAAAATACCTGTTGGAGTAGTAGTTCTTTTTTTTTTTTTTTTTAAGATTTTATTTATTTGAGAGAGAGAGAATGAGAGACAGAGAGCAGGAGAGGGAGGAGGGTCAGAGGGAGAAGCAGACTCCCTGCCGAGCAGGGAGCCCGATGTGGGACTCGATCCCGGGACTCCAGGATCATGACCTGAGCCGAAGGCAGTCGCTTAACCAACTGAGCCACCCAGGCGCCCTGGAGTAGTAGTTCTTTAACTGTGTATAGAATTCCCTGTTTTCCCTTTCCCCATTTTGTTAAATATTGAACTTTTCCTATAGCTCTCAGATATTCCATATGGGGTGGAGCTCAGCCATCTTCATTTTACAAACAACCTTTGGTGAATTTTGATGTTTTGTGTTGGTGTTTGATTGGCTACACTTTGAGACTCACTACCTTAGAAAATCATGAAACAGTACAAGCTCAGTGTTGGAAATAATTTAGGAAGAGTGTTCTTTTTTTTTTTTTTCCAAATTTTTATTTAAATTCTAGCTAGTTAACATATAGTGTAATATTGGTTTCAGGAGTAGAATTTAGTGATTCATCCCTTACATATAACACGCAGTGCTCATCATAACAAGTGTCCTTAATACCCATCACCCATTTGGCCCATCCCCTACCCATCTCCCTCCATCAACCCTGAGTTTGTTCTCTATAGGTAAGAGTCTATATGGTTTGTTTCCATCTCTTTTTTTTTTCTCCCCATATGTTTATCTGTTTTGATTCTTAAATTCCACATATGAGTGAAATCATGGTATTTATCTTTCTCTGATTTATTTCATTTAGCATAATACACACTAGCTCCATCCACATTGTTGCAAATGGCAAGATTTCTTTCTTGTAATATTCCATTGTGTATATATACCACATCTTCTTTATCCATCCATCAGTCAGTGGACATTTGGGCTCTTTTCATATTTTGGCTATTGTTGATACTGCTCCTATAAACATCAGTATGCATGTGCCCCTAGAATTTGTATTTTTGTATCCTTTGGTTAAGTACATAGTAGTACAATTACTGGGTCATAGGGTAGCTCTATTTTCAACTTTTTGAGAAACCTCCATACTGTTTTCCAGAGTGGCTGCACCAGCTTGCATTCCCACCAACAGTGTAGGAGGGTTCCCCTTTCTCCGCATCCTCGCTAACATCTATCATTTCCTGACTTACTAGTTTTAGCCATTCTGACTGGTGTGAGGTGGTATCTCATTGTGGTTTTGATTTGTATTTCCCTGATGCTAAGTGTTGTGGAGCACTTTTTCATGTGTTTGTTGGCCATTTGGATGTCTTCTTTGCAGAAATGCCTGTTCATGTGTTCTGCCCATTTCTTGATTGGATTCTTTGTTCTTTGGGTGTTGAGTTCGGTAAGTTCTTTATAGATTTTGGATACTAGCCCTTTATCTGACATGTCATTTGCAAATATCTTCTCTCAGGGGTTTTCTTTAGACCCAGTTTAAGGACTCCTGCCTCTGGAAACTCACTTAGGCAATCCTCATCTGACGCATCATGACATTTTGCCTACTCCCCTGCACACCGTGAGCAACATGTCTACCTCAGCCTGAACGCCGTCTGTAAGAGGGAGAACACTATATCCCAAGGAAGCCATCTTAGTTTCCTAGTTCCTCCTCCTTTCATGTATAAGGATCCTGGTGATTACATTGGTCCCACCAGGATTCTTTCCCCATCTCAAGGCCAGCTCTTTAGCAACCTTATTCCCTCCTTCAACCTTAATTCCTCCTTGCCATGTAACATAACATATTCACAGGTTCTGGATGTTGGGATGTGGGACATCTTGGGGGGTGGGAGGGAGGGAGGCAAGGGTATTATTCTGCCTACCCCAGTAGCTGACTGTGTTGTTAGGTAGCTTTAAATAATTTGGAAATCTTGGGGTTTTGTTTGTTTTTTTTTTTCCCTAATGCTGAGCTCAAATTTGTCTCCTGACTTTTCACATACAGGTTTTTGTTTTGCCATGGTGAATGCACATGGCAGTCCTTGAACTATTTGTTCTACAAAGCATGAATTACATGGTGTTGGCTCATTTTTCACTTAGCTTGGTAGAAATTAGCAACTATTCGGTAATCTATAGACTATATGAATTAAGTACACTTACTGAATGATTTCCACATTCATACATCCATCCAGGATCTTAAAGTCTGTCCATGGGAGTCACACTTGGGAGTTTTGGTTTCCTTAAATGGTGTTTGTTGGCAACATTTTTATGAGTAATGACCTATGCCCCGTGCTTAGCACTGTCTATGAATTAGGAAGTGGACCCTCATCAGCCATCGCGCCACATCTGCCAGCATCATGATCTTGCACTTCCCAGCCTCCAGGACTGTGAGAAATAAATGTTGTTTATAAGCCACCAGTCCCAGGTATTTTGTTTTAGCAGTCTGAAGGGACTAAGACGCTGAGCAATGGGGTCCCTTACTCAGAGCACATGTTCACAAGAAAGGCATACAATTGAACAAAACTTGGTCTCTTCCAGCAAGAAAGAAGTTGGGGGAGTGGGTTTGACTATAACAAGTAGCACCGATCGCTTACTATGTACCATGCACCCTTCTCAGCACTTTACACGACCTAACTCATTTAGTCCTCATAGTGGATAATGCTGTGCTCTGGGGATAGAACAATTTCAGCCCAGCTCTGCCTGACAACAAAAGCCTGTTTCCTTAACTACAGTCCACCTCAGTGTCTGCGGTTGCTTGGCCTTAGCCATCAGCAGAACAGTGCCAGCATGCTGAAGCTTTGTTCACCATATGTATATTGTGTGTGAACACCTCTGCTTTTTTTTTTTTAATTAAGTGAGACATTTTAGTAATAGCTACATTGTGAAATAGTATTTCAGCAGTAGTCCTGATAATCATAACAGTTTAACAGTTACAAGTCTAGACTGTGTATAAAGGGTGGCCGAACCATTTAAGAGAGTTAAAGTGTAACCATTTAAGGGAGTTAGAGTGTATGTTAATGTCCTCCAATCTGTAAGTTTCTAATTGATAATTGATACACAGTTGACCGTTGAACAACATGGGGATTAGAGGCATTGACCCCCCAACGCAGTTGAAAATCCATGTATAATGAACTTAAGTCCTAATAGCCCACTGTTGACCAGAAGCCTTACTGATAACATAAACAGTGGATGAACACATATTTTGTGTGTTATATGTATCATATACTGTATTCTTATATATATAACTTTTTCTTAAATGTTTTGATATTTCTAGGCTACATGGTTCATCCATGAGTTTTTTCAAATTGTTGCAGATCTCCAAAAAATTTCCCAATGTATTTCTTTTTTAAAAACCTGAGTATAACTGGGCCTGCAGAATTCAAACTCATGTTGTTCAAGGGCCACCCGTACTCTTAAGTGTGACCTCTTGTCTTGAGCTTCATTTCATTTGCCTTTTACAGCAAAATGCGTAAATCCCCAAACTTATGCATGTGTTCATTTTTTTGCTAGACTCGTGAGTGCTGGTTTCTTTTTGTCCTGTTCCAAGATTGCAGAATAAATGGATTCAAGTAGAATTTTAATTTTATAATTTAATCGCAAGAAGACCAGTATTGCAAGCTGACATCTCTTGTGTAGTGTTTGGTTTCTCCCACTTAGAGGAAGTAGTTCTGCAGCCACAGACTGGCTACCTAAAGTTCTCGCTAGCTTCCTTACAGATGTACCATTGGATACTACGTGTACGAAAGAATCAGCAAGTCCTTTAAACAAAATGGAGGCAATGGTGATTTTATTTTATTTTATTTTTGTACTTGGTAGGCAATACATTTACTATATATAGCTAATGACCTACTCAGTACTTTGCTGCAATCAAGGACTTGCTTGTATTACATGAAAAATTTTAGGGGAGAATTAAGGTTGGCATATTTATAATTCAGGAGAGCTTCCTTGGGAATCTACTAGTGCTGGTTTTTAGGGGGGCACACATCTATTTGAAAGCTGATAAAAGTTCCACCACTTTTCAAGATAAATGTGTACATGCAAAATTTTCTGTGTGGTTCCAGGAAACTCGTGGATCTCCCTGTAATTTATCTATAAACACTGCCTA